AAAGATAATTAAGTTCGCATGTGCGGGCAAAACACCTAGTATGCATATATATCCAAACATGAAATCGCAAAAAGATAAACAGAAAAGTCAAAAACTCTAAAGAACAGCTCGTGGTGTGAGACGAGTACTTGAAACCACTGTCCTTCTGACCGACCATGCAAAGCAGAAAGACACGTGTGAGCCAAGTTTCAGAAATCAATTCCTCCTTTGAATTCTAATACTTTTAAAAATAAACTAGATCATAATCCGCCCGACTGGGCGGGTCTTTATTTTTATGGTATATATAAACATTTCAAAAAGTACAATCTAATGGTTCGAATTTTACTAAGTAATAGTATAATGTTTAAATATTGTATTTCATCATTGTATTGTGTAACAGGGGCGTCGGTATAATATTGTGACCCGTTAATATTTTAGTAATAGTTTATAAGGTTTTTTTTGCTAAATTTGGTACAAAGTTATATACACGAAACAATTTAGTCAAATTTTTAAGTTAATTTTTCAATGAAGAATTAGAAAGCAAGTATATCACTGTTAAAAACTTATAACAATAGTCAATATAAATTATATAAATAAAATATATATTATTCTTGATTTATTCTAAATAAATTTAAAACACGAGTATATATATGTAAAAATAATTTTCAGAAATAAAGTAATATTAATGATAAAAAACCTAAAATCAATAATAATGATATTTTATGCCACATTAATCTTTAGTTTAATAAATAAAGCTCATTAGGTTTATAGGCTATCATTGTTTCCAATCACCATAAATTTAAATATTTCCTACTCATGTTTCCAAACACTTAACTTTTTGTACTTCAGCTTTAATAGTATAGATAATTAATGCCGCCACTAAGATAGAAAACTTATCTTCGATGAATAAAGATTGGTTGATTAGCAGGATAATGGTTTCAGTGAGCATTTGCTTGTCTGGTTCAAACATATAGTATTACTAGATGACTCATCCCCATGTATACCCGAAAATGAGTATTTACCAAAATAAACAAATAAATTTCAATTGTATTAATTATTTTTGTTTATTTTCTATTTTATATTACTTTAATTAAGCTTATCATTTATTATTACTGAGTAGTGATGTTTTAATGTATTTGATTTTGCAAAATATTTAACTTAGTAATGATATTTGTTTCTAAACTTTAAGTTTTATTTTAACATGGTTATTAGTTTCTTATTATTTATATGATTATTTTAATAATAATTTCATTTTTTGCTTATTTTGGTTTGTTATTGGGCTTTGTAAATTTTTGAAAACCAAAAACCACTTATAAAATTTATATACTATTAAAATTCAAAAATTGAAAAAAAATTGTTCATCTCAAATTAAAATTGTATTATTTACAATATAACTTTACATAAAAAGTTACACATAAATCTAAATTCATTTAAATTTACTTAATATTTTGAAAAAATTCCTTGTAAACAACATACCACCTCCATTCTTTAAAGATGGATTTTCTAGTACTTTCACACTTATTAAAAAATCAAATAAAATAGCTATCATAAGGGCATTATATATTTCAAGTTTTAATTTTCAATAACATCTAATCAATAGGAATTCAATAAATTCAGTTAAGTTTTTGGAAGTCTAGAATTTCTTTATAGGAAAAAAAAAACCAATTTTTGTGAAACTTTTTTTTTTCTAAAATATCTATCTTGACGGATAGAGAATTTTTTTTTCTGAAGATAATTGTATACGCCACATTCTAAACTTAAATCTTATTTTTTACGAAGTAGAAAACATTATACATATTAATAATTTTAGCTGACTTTATTGCAGATAAATGTTGTCTCGATAAAATATGTATTCAGCTGAGTTAATTGAAGTCTTCTTCCACTATATAGTCAATTTATGATATACACACTGATATTTCATCTATTTTAAATATGAATTTTTAGTAACAAAAAACGATGTTGTTTTATGGAAAACATGCTTTTTTGTGAATAAAGAAGAATAGGATGAAAAGTATTATTAGGCTGAGAGTTTTAAATGTAGAGGAAAAGTATTGATTTAAAACTTTAGAGTTGATTAAACATAAAATTAAATAGTAATATGATGTTTTTAACCAATGTGAAAAAAAATATAAATGTGTTTTGAAAACATATCTAACAACAAAAGGTTTCTAATTATCATGAGAAAATTTATAAATAAGAAAAAAATGTTTTGATATGTTAAAAATATATTTCTGACTAACTTAATTTATTTATTTTATTAATAAGATATAAGATATTTTAACGTCATAAGAAAACTGGTTTAACCAACTTGATTTAGGAAAAAAATCTATATTTTTGTGAAATGGAGATTTTAAAAGGAATTTGTTTTTTACTACATATGTTATAAATATAAGGGAAATTGATATATATATATATATATATATATATGTATTAAAAATATTTCCTTTTTCATATTACATCATTTTGAGTATATAAATAATTAGTTTTTATTAAATGATATGTTATATATATATATATATATATTTTTTTTTTTTATAATTTTAGATTAAAGATATTTTATTATTGTATTATATTTATTTTTCATTTATATAAAAGTTTTTTTATTAAATTATATGCTTTAAATATAAAAATTGATATATATATATATATCAAAACTATTTTTTTTTATATACATCAAGATCCTGAAAGAAAGCTTCACTCACTCACAATTCATTCATATTTTCCAAACGAAGAATAAGGAGACAGACAGTCTTATACCAGAAAAAATCATCATTTGTTGTTTATATGAGTACTAATTTAGTTTGCAGAGTCAATTTTAATTAGTTATATTGATGAAAATATATATATGTTAAATTTCTTTTTTGAGTTATATAAATGGAAATAAATTATAATGCTATACATAAAATTATACTAAAGATAGATGATTTGGAAACAATATTAACAAAAAAAGTTAAAAATATAGTAATAATATCATTTTAATAATAAATATCATCCTTATAATTAACGTTAAAAATAAATTTCTCAAATAATATTATAGAAATCACAACCATATTCATGAATAAAATGATATGATGTTAAAAAAATATAATATAAATACTATATTATCTCCGAGGGACTAGTATCGTAATATACAGAAAATGTATTGAAAATAAAGTTGTTATCGGAACATTATTACAGATTGCATTGTGACCAAAGGATGGTTACTAAGTTTTTACTATTTTGAATGAGGTTTGAAAGGAATAAATTTAAAAAGTGAATCATGATAAAAATATTAATAATCATGTTTTCTAGAAATAGAATAGTCATGGAGTCATGAATATAGAAATAAAAGGACAACAACAGAAATAGTTTTCAGAAATATATTATTTGTTTCTGTTTCTCACGGATACATTCTTTTTCCAAGCAGAGACAAGAAGGAAGCAAAAGGGAAGTGGCGTGTTCTTTTCTACAAAACTCATCCGCCACTTCTTTTAATTTTAAAGTCCCCCACTTCTCTTCTTCTCCTCTTCAAATATCAATCTTATACATAGCCATAAATTCATAGGTAAATCTTGAACTATATTGCTCAATCCGATCGTTCAAAAGGATTTTTGTTGTTTTGTGTGTTTGGAACTTTGGATGGTGACGACGGGAATGCGTGTGGGCAAATACGAGCTTGGGAGAACGCTTGGTGAAGGTAACTCTGCAAAAGTCAAACTCGCTACGGATACTGTTTCTGGCCAATCGTTTGCCGTCAAAATCATCGACAAGTCTCGTACCAGTCGCCTCAACGTCCCTGTTCAGGTTTTTTTGCATTTTGAATCAATTTTTTTTATTTTGCTCTAGATTTGAATGGCTTAAAGGTGGGTCCGAGTTCTTACACAGTCTTCCTTTTTCGGAACTTACAGATTAAGAGAGAGATACGCACACTCAATGCTTTGAAGCATCCAAACATTGTCAGATTACATGAGGTAAATGTTTCAATAGCTTATGGAGATTCTTGGATCCTTCTGATTGAATTCTTCGTTTATCCTAGATATGACCAGTAATATTCTCATTACAGCGTAAGTTTATTTTTCTTTTTTTTTGCTAGAATAGTTTTGACGAGGATTAAACATTAAACCTGTGAAACTTTTTGTTTGCTTGCGCATAAGTGTTTCTTGATCATTTTGTTATTCTAAATTTTAGTTAATCTCCCTTTTCACGTTTAATAAATAGCGAACGCTTACCGCTTACGTATAATCAATTTTTTTTAACTTTTAAGTATTTTTGTCGTCCTAGCTTGAGTCTTGATCATTAGCTGGCTCAGGATTAGATTTGATGACCTGACCAATTCAATAATGAGGTCGGTCCCAAAAAAAAAATTGACGATTTGAATAAATGATAATATGGGAAATCATATTCAATATTGCTTCCACTACAAGAAAACGCGGGCATAACGACCACAGATATAGAGGTAATTTGGTAGTAAATCAATTTTTACGACCACACAACAACCAAAACCGTTTAGTAGTAAACAGCCCGTCGTAATAAAGTTTTGGTCGTAATGTGGACTTAATTATTACGACTAAAGATTTTGGTCGTAAAACAAACGTAAGAAGAGTTGTCGTACTCTGGATGTGGATTTGACGTAAAGTTACGTCCAATCATTTGGATGTTATGTGGTCGTAAATCTTGGTCGTAAAGTGGAAGCAGTACTCGACGTAAAATAGTAGTTAAATAGAGGTAATGTGTACGACCACATTACCTCGATTCTTGAATAATGGACACAACTTGGTCGTAAAAAGTACCACCAGATAACTTCAAATTGATTTATTTAATACGACCAAATAACCTCTAAAGATATAATAAAAAATCACTTTTAAAATCCACAAATTTAAAATTTTTAATTTACGAAATTTAATATTTAATTAAAAATCATTCATTTCGAAAAGAAAGTTAACTTAATATATCCAAAACATAATAAAAATATATATTCAAATTACATAAGAAAACTAATTAATTATTAAGATTAATGTCTGCGAAAAAGTCGGTGCTATGCT